GAGGGGGCGTCGGGGGGGGCAGTAGAGGTTGGAGCGAGCGGGGCAGGGGAGCTAGCGGTTGGGGAGGGAGATGAGGCGGATGAAAACCCGCAGGGAGGCCAAATCGACCTAGCTAGTCGGGAGGGCCTAAGGCACATGGCAGGCCCTGGATCTGGCGGCCGGCCCAGAATAGACGGGCCTGGCCCAGCAACACAAGGGGCCTACGGACCGAGCCGTCCCCAGTCGCCAGGCGGCCCAGTTGGCTACGACCCAGCAACTCAAGGCCCAGGGGCAGGGCGGGGCACCCATCCGGAGGGTTTCCCGTCAACGGGCGGGCACCACCGCCGCCGCTGCGGCTGAGCCGCCGGACAGATCGAGCCAGGGGCGACGGAGGCCCAGAAGGACGCGGCATCGAAGGAAGGAGGAACCAAAGGCGGCTATGAACGGTCGAAATGGCGAGGTCCGGGCGGTGGGGGGCGGTGCTTCTGAGGTTGGACGGGGGGTTGGCATGTCTGTCGACAGCGAGGGCAGGAGGGCATCCGGGGAAGGGCGCCAGGAAGTGAGTGCCGGACCCAACAATGCCCCTGTTTATTTTGTGATTCCATGAAAAGATTGGAGCACCCAACAATGTCTTATTACTGTTTCGGTATGGTACACGCTTCGAAATTATGAAAAAATGTTGCAGATAAGGTCTCATCTAGGTGTTAACTTACCTTTTCCCTGAATATTGATCATGTACATGCATGCAATTTATCTGCTTTCCTAAACTATTTATTTCAGTTTTAACCAGAGGTAAAACTAACTTTGCCGAGCTTTCTTAATTGTTGATTCATGTCGTCTAGGTTCTGGAACTACTTCTTCATGAGTTTCCATGCCCGTTTTACACAATTCCAAAATGAAGTTGAAATCATATGCCATACTTTTTTTTATGTCTATCCCCTTTTGTTTATCCCCCATGGTCCTTAAAAGTTTGTTCATTTCTATTTTTTCCATACAAACCAGAGGATCCCGTTCTTTGTTCGAAGAAATTAAGGAGAAATGCAGCTCATTAATCTCCAGCAAGGAATTCAAGAAATATTAAATTGCACCATTCATGTCCAACAAAATTATGGCCAGTTTTGAGTATAGAGAAGTGTAAGAGAAGCCATATTATTTTCTTGATGTAATGGAGAATAATTTGGCTCATGCTTATCTAATCCGGTCTGTTAGTCCGCTCCTTTTGATCATTAGTTATCAGTGCCTGAAATTTGCGGCATGCCTATTTTCTCAGTGTAACCAGTCCTCTTGTCTTAAAGAGGAGCTCAAGGGAGAAGAGTGAACAAAGACGAGATAGAAGAGAGTAGTAGTAATTAACCCCATTAATTGGCATCATGAATCAGATGTTAGCTTTAGTTAACTCATACTATTTGCTAACCATCTGTGTTCCATAGTTGTCAGTGAAAGAACCAGTACAGCACGTTTTCGATGTTATTAGAATCCTGGAATTGCATAGTGCTAATTATTAGATTGGTCAGTTTACTATGAAATGAGGGTAATGCTATTTTCTTTAGCAGGTTTTTGGTTGTTAGCAAGGTTGTCTGAATATTAAACAACATAGTCCTGTCCAAAAGGTGGTATATCTATGAAGAGTGGAGACAAATGGATTGTGCTTCTTTTTAGATAAAAGTGGTATAATTAGTAAGAGAAGTATAACAGTTATAGTCATATGTGACTACGATTTATATGTTTGTTTTTGCCATTTGCCTAAGAGAATGTCACTTAGATGTTAGCATGTTCGGATATATCTCTGCAGACATCTGTTGTCTGTTGAGTAATGACTGAGGAGTATATAACATTGGCAATGATCCAGAGGAAACAAAGAACTTAGGGCCAGTTCTTTTGGGCGGCTTAAAAAATAAGCTGCCTCTCCCCAGCTTAAAAAATAAGCCGCCTCTAAATTTTTTTGAGACTTCTAGAATATTTATTCCATGACTAGTTTAGAAGCCTCAACGAATATAGGAGGTGGCTTATGGGAAAAGCTGGGGAGAGGCAGCTTATTTTTTAAGCCGCCGAAAAAAACTGGCCCTTAGTGTGTATTACTACTGTTTTAAGAAAAAATGCGTAGGCAAATGGGTTGGCTGTGCTCTCCATCCTTCTAGAATTTTCCAAAAGGAAAAGCCGGATCTAATGGCATCATGTGCCATCATAGCCCATTGGACAAATTTCGAATATATTCAAAGGGAGCAGCAAAGCGTGCATCCGCTTCTAGTTCCAAGATGAATACCAAGTCTATAGTACTTCACAACATACTCAAACTCACATGATCCAACTCAAATGAAAATCTAAATGCATTTAATAATTATTAATCAAACTCACATGATCCAACTCAAATGAAAATCCAAATGCATTTCATAATTATTAGTTAGTCGGATGCAACAAAACCAACCATAACTCTACATGATCCAATCCAAAACAATATTTGAACACATCACAATGTGTGAATTCCTGCGTTTGTGAATGAAGCATAGAGTGTGTGTGTGTGTGTGTGTGTGAAGATGTAGCAATGGCAGGAGAGAGATGTGTGCGTGCAACACACGAGGCATACACCTCGTGGAAGAGAGAGACAGAGGGCGAGAAAGATTGTATATATGTGTTTTTTTATAGAAGCATCAAAAATTATGTTGGCAAACCTATATGCAGTATATTTTTGCAGCCAAGTGAGTAGTACATTAATTTATTGCATCTTTATGAAACAACCATTCTATAATTAGGCCATATCTTCTAAAGAGTGAAATTAATCACTGTCGAGATATGGAAGATATTACATGGCATATATTGTAATGAAGAATAATTAATTTCGAGGCATGGAAGAATCAACGAAATTAAAGATTTTTGAGAAATTAGTTACTTTCGATATTTGGAATTCTAATATAATTCCATAAAAATTACAAGGGCGAATATTTACTCTTTGTTGTCTTATTTGTTAATTTATAGACTTACCAAATAAGATAATTTTTAAGATCGTCCATATCTTACAAATAATAATGAATTTCAGGAAAATAATTTCCATATCTCGAAATAAGGAAATTTTGATTAAAAGATATTCCCCATGTATATGCTATAAATTCTATTTAATCAATACTACATATCAATCTTCTCTTTAAGATTATGCCAGCACAACAATTTAGACGAACCAACCAATGGGATAAATGATTTCTCTTTGCAATTTTCTTTGAGAATCAACGATGATTTGGTCAGATACTAGCGTTAATTGTATGCAACATATACACAAATAGATTGCATAAAAAATCACCATCTTTAACAAATAGTATATTTATTTATTGCCTTTTAAAAAAAGATACTCCTACATCCGAGGATAACATGGTATATAGTGCATTCTTTTCCATTTATCAAAGTAATTAATTGTTTTGATGTCTACAAGATATGTCTTGAATGTACCACTTATGAATACTTCCAAACAAAGGATGCAAGGCATATCAATCTTCTATTTAAGTTTGTGGTAAACACAAAATTCCTTACTGCAACTTGTTAGTTTGTAGGCGATTTTTCTATACCAAACTCACTGCAGATCACAATCACGCTCGCAAATGCCACATGTGGCACGCCTTTTGGTACTAGTACTCTTTGTGGTTTCTTTAGATCCCTGGGCATCAAAGTCGACAGCATCAAGCTATCATGAGTATCCTAGGAGATTAGCACATCACATACGAATGCCATCCTTGAATAGCAGTTCCAAGGTCACACGCACAGGTTCTGACAGAGCAGAGGCTTCGATCAAAGGAGTGGAAGAAATACCACACGTAAGTTTTAAATGCTTGTCTTATTTTGTTTCCTTCACAATTTTATGCCTTAATACTGTCAGCTGGAAGTTTCTTGCATAACTCTTTTTTCTTGAGTATGTCTGTTTTTTTTTTGCATCAACTATGCATGATTCTTGTTACTATCCAAAGCATCACATAGATAAGCTTCATAGAGTTACCCATGCGTCCAATCAGCGTTGGGGCAAATGCTCATAGCATGAGGCCAAAACCAAAGCTCTAGATAACAAATTCTAATTCTAGTGAGAGTTTGTTTTTAGCAATTGACTGTTTTTTCTACGTCCAATAGTCAGTGTGTATCCACCCTAGAAATTAGATCAGGCATTCGGGTTCATCACTTTATCTTCTAATACATCAGCCCCAAGCCACCAGAACTACCCCAACCTCCTCCACTGCCATGCCATCCTCATCGCCACAAGCCCACCACGTGGCCAAAACGCTAGTTAGTCCTTCCAGCAAATTATCTAGACCACTCGATCTCCCCTCTCCCTCCATCGCTGCCACCACCATCCAGATCTACCTCCCTTAGTTCGCCAGTTCCACCTCTCCTCCCTGATTGCGTATCTTCTAGCTTAACGTGGACCTGACCACAATTACCCCACACTACACTTTGTACCTATGGCGTGTCCGACTAACCTACAACTAATCTCAGGTAACTAATACTACTCACTAGAAAGGGTTCAAGGACATAATACAAGTATTACAAAAATATCACCTGTGCCTATAGTTTTTGCAATATACCATTTATACACAAAATATATGTGCTCAGGCGGATTTTTTCATAAAATTTGCTTTGAGGTATCTAGAAATTATTAATGAAGTATGTAAAAATAATAATGTGGTATAATCGGTCCATCTATGTGGCATATATGTTCAAGAATGCTATCCAGAACATAGTAGTTTATTTCAAACTTCGAATTAACTCACAACATTGTCTACAGTATTGTGCATATCAATCAGGTGAAGCAGCATATGCTGGTACTATAGCGACTATGGATGTCTATGCTTTTCCAAATTTGAAGAAGGGTCAATCAATTTCAGCCCATATCTCGGTGGCTGACAGCCAAACATCGAACCAACTTGTATCCGGATGGGAGGTAAAATTTGTCTCTATATTGCAATCTTCATTAGCTATACTAGTCATGAACATGTGCAATCTTCATATCATCTTAGAAAAAAGATGATATCAAAAGTTTTGAATACTTTGATATATATCATTGAATAAATTAGACATATAGAAGAAGGATGCCTCAGAATTATGCATTTCAGGTATCTTCATTTGTACTCCATAAAGGCTAAACATAAGTTGTCGATCATGCGGTGGGTCTAGATTTAATCTAATAATGCATGCAAACTGAGGGTAATTCAAGTGTTTGAATTTAATTCCAGAAAGGACTACATACACACACACATAAGCAATTGAAGTGCCGGAAATCCGTAGTCCATTATCTGATTGTTATGAAAGCATGTCGCATGGATGCACAACCAAGTTAACTAGCATGCATGTACATCCATGTTAATTAGCAAATCATAGCTCCAAAACCTTTACATGGAACGAAAGGAAAACTAGGGAAATTAAATACACATGTATGAGTTGGGCCTATGTTAACGAATGTAAAAACAGTATTTTGTGCGGGGCCCAAAATTCACCAAAGTATAGATGTGTTCTGCAAAACAATGCATTTATTTTTTTTAAAAGCAAACTATATTAAATTAAAATATAAAATACATTAATGTGATGAAAGAATAATAAAGTTTCTTAGCAAGTTTTTTTGGCAATATATATTCAAATAAACATATAAGCAATGTTTAAAGCTAGAATATAAGATTAGAATTTTGTGCATGCATCTTGGAAGAATGACATTGCACTAATAAAAATATAAGATGGATTGAGGAAGAAAAAAAATTAGTGTACCTCACTAGTGTTTTAGATTTAAATATTTTTTTTAAATTCCTCAAAATAATTAAGATGATCAGATCACGCTAGGGTGCTCTTCCTTTCCATTTTCGATTGACAACGTAGCATGGAAGAAAAGACACACATGGTAGAGAAAGATGCATAAGTAGGAGACAATAAGAGATGCAAACATGTGAATGCGAAATTCAAATGATAGATATATTTATTTTAAGATAATGCTTTTCACAAAAGGTGTATTTCGATAATATGAAAGGTTCATCGAAGGCAATAATAAATGAGATGTGAATTAGGAACAACCAAAGATGGATGCATGTGTAATGATTACATACAGGGCATGCATGGAATTAGGTAATAAGGATCAGAGATCTACGTCAAATAATTTATGTGTGCGACGGAGCATATATCATGAAGAAAGTGAAGAGATGTTGTGGCTACATTACTAAAGGTTTAAGCAAGAAACCATGTGAAGTGGCTAAAAAAACATCTCAACCAGGTTAAAATATTAATAAAGAAAAACAAGCTCGATGCGATAAAAATAAGCAGAACCAAAGCATCTGTTTACAAAGTGCCGACATTGAAGAGTAGAAGAGAGACATAAGTAGACTACAAATAAGGCACATGAACATAGAGTAAAATGATATGGCAGGTGCATTTCTTTTCAAACATAATTTTCACAAAAATCAAATTTAATTATTATTTTAGTACTAAAATAGCACACTAATCAAATACATACACTGTAATGCAATTAATGATCAAAGAGAACACAAGATTTAGTTACGAATAATCAATCTACGGATTTAATTCTATGTGGAGATTTTTGGAAGAATCATTGGTGAAAATCAGACATGGCAAAAACAAACCTCAAGGCTATCAATTTTTGGTTGTCAAACTCATGGTCAATTCCAACAACTAATACACGCAATGAAAGGACTTATGCCAAAATATATTCACGTGTTATGGAAACATACTTTTGGCTCAAAAATACCTATACCATTTATATGTAAAAAGGTAATAAAACAATTAAGTAATTAAATAAAAATACAATTGGAGACCTGGGATAATAACGCGTAAAAAAAATACCGAATGTAAAGGATGGAGGAAATCTAGCTGGATAAATGTGCGTGTCATCTTCCTAGATAGTATATATGGTTAAAGTGTAAATTTCACTGGACTGTATTCCTGTAGCTGTAGTTTCTTAGCAAGAATATTTTCCAACAGTTTCTATCTCGACCATTTTAACAGTGTTTGTAAACAGTAGTGTTCCTCAAATCAACTGATGTCACAAACGCCAAAATACAGCTTCTTCACTTGAAAACAAGAAATTTGTCGCTGTGTAGTGGACTCACGTTTAGGCTGGTCATAGTGGGAAGTAAGTTAAACTAGTAACATGCATATGTTACTAGTCTATTTACGGCCTTGTTCAATTACCTGCATATATTTTTTATTTTTGAGAACCGAGATGCATGTGTGCAACCTTTCAATAATATCGTCTGGCTCCGGCACTGAGGATCGATGTCTTCCGCCAACCACGTGATGTAGAACTTGTGACTTGTGGTGCGTGCAAGGATGCTAGGCTTGACATGGTCATTCGTTGGCAGGTGTGGTCAGGTCTTTCATGATGATGAGAATTTTAGTATTTGAAAGAAGTAGAGAAAGAATACAGGGACCGGTAACCTTCTCGCGTCGCTCCCCCCGCGAGCAACCGAGGGGGCAACCCTAGCCGCCGGCGCCTCAGGTTCCCTGTCCCTCTTCTCCCCTCGCCGCCGCCGGTCCGCGCCGCCGGGCAAAGCCCGGTAGGTGCTGGTAGGTGATGGCGGCGGCGGGGCCCCATCTCCTCCTCGCACGAGGGCTCGGTGCGGGCGGGCATCCTCGGGCGGCGGCGGCGCGCGGGCAGGTCCGGCGGCGGTGCTGCGGTGCCTCGTGCTGCGCATGGACGGCCGGACACGGCGGGGGCTGCGGGATCACCCGGAGGCGACAGGTACGGCAGCGTCCCTTGCCTATGCGGCGGTGGCTGGATCCATGGCCGGCATGGTGCTCTTCCCCTCGGTGGAGTCTATGCCTAGAGATGGGTGACGGAAGCCGCGGATCTGGCGTCCCGTCCAGATCCGCCCCGGCGTGGCAACTGGTGGCGCGTGGAGGACCGGCGAGGGGCGGCTGGAGGCTCCCTGCCGGCGTGCCGACGGCGGCTTCACGGCGAAGCTCCGTTCGGTTTCAGTCAGCTGCGAGATCGGGGGGCCGTGATTTCCGGTGAAAATCGCGCCGACTATGTTCGGTTCCCTTCTTGAGGCATCGTTGTTGTAGGTCATGGCTCCCCACTCGTGATGCTCCGGGAAAAACCCTAGATCTAGGTCTACCGGATCGGATGATGATGGCACTTTCGATGTTGTTGTCCCTTCTGGGGGCATCGTTTTGGAGCACGTGCTGGCTGGAGGGGACAAGAGGAGGAGCGGTGTTACATCTACCGCAAGACCGACGGCGGATCCCGGCGGCATGGCGCCGCGGAGGTTCAGCGATGGGTGCGTATTGGAGATGGACTCGCGCAGGAGGAGGAAGTTGTCTGGCGTCATGGTGGCATTGATCGCAGAGAGGCCTATCAAGGTCGGTGCATCAGTTCTGCTCTGAGGATGGACCGAGGAAAGATGGAAGCGACGGCCCTTGCAGCATGCGGCGCTCACTGGGAGTGTGCCAGACCGGTGTGGGACTCAATTTAGGTAGTGGCTTGGATGGGACACCCGGCTTTAGATGTTAGGCTTTGGTATGATGTTTGTTTGGTATTAGGCCCGGACATTCGGCACACCTTCATCAAGATGATAGGAGTAGCAACAACGTTGCCAAGATGGTGTCTTCAGGCTTATTGATGTATCACCTTGTATGGCTTTGTAAATAATTAATAATATGGCTGCATGCATCGTCCAGATACAGAGGCCAGGGTACATCCTCCTTTTTTTTTAAAAAGGAAAGAATACAAAAACTAAGTCGTTGCCTTCATTCATTTCCGTGTACTGTACTACGCAACAACTGCATTGGTATGGCGACACAAGTTGCACTGCTAGCTGCCATGCTAAAAACTCGCAGGGGTACGAAGGTGCGGGGGCACACTCGATTCGCGAAGTAATTAGATCCCGCATAAGAGCATAATAAATTTTAAGTTTCAATCGTTGAAACTTCTGAGTTTTCAACTGAAACTTGCGATCTTCTCACTCCCTTTTACCAAGTTTTATAGATAAAATTATAAGATATTTTTTCTGTCAGTCATGGATATAAAAATTGAGTTTCTCATACTAAGTTTCATGAGTTGAAACTTAATGTTTATTTTCAAAATTCGACAAAATATACTTAAAATGAATCTTATTTGAAAGTCCTCATCCAGAGAAACACAAATGTGAAAGCGGAACTTAATTTGAACTAAAGATATAAAGTTTTAAAATCGAGAGCCGAAAATAATAGCACGCGTGCTCCAAGTCCTCTCCCACTGCCATGCATGCTTTTGACTATCACCTACCCGCTGGCATTGCATGTGCATGGAAAGGAGGGGTATAACTAATTGATGCAAAATTACTAATCCTTTTGCGCAGCTAGAGGAACAATTCCGTGAGTCGGCCAGACACATATATAATTCTGAATTCAAGCTGTTGCTGCATAATATTGTGTTTGTTAGTCATAGACGTGGTACTCAAAGTTTTATGTCCCTTGGCTAATCCTAGCGGCAAACTCAAGACCTCACGGCAAATATTCATATGGTCTGGATTAATGTTGTTGACCCATTTATAAAGAAGTCAACCCATTTCCTTTTACAGATTGATCCAGATCTATATGGTGATAGCAAAACACATTTCTTCGTATACTGGACGGTATGATGTGATCAATTCACAAATTTCATTTCATAATACGAAGACTGCATTTAACTGATATGTTCTTGAAATGTGTTTTTAATTTGAACGGAAGACTGATAGGAAGAATGGATGTTCTAACTTGGATTGTGACGGCTTTGTACCTGTAAACTTGGCTACTATTACTCCCGGAGATACTTTGGAGCCATCTCGTGGACACATGAATATTACATTGAAGATATTTAAGGTATGATTTTCAAAACACGGTAACCCTATCAGTCATACAGACGTAATCCTTTTTTGGAGATCGCGTAATAGTTTGCACATGCTTATATTATTATTTAGCATCAAGGTATCAAAATTGACTTCCAAATGAAGCCGGAATAATACTATGTCCATCTTGAAATACATTTTTTTCAAAACTCAACTATTTCTATCAGTAACAATTCAATAGAAAAATACCGACATCTATAAGACCAAATTGATAAAATATGAAAAATATATTGTAAGATGGATATTTTTTACAAATTATTTCACGATGAGCCTAATGATACTTTTGGTATTGTAGATATTGATGTCTTTACCTGTAAACTTGGTCAATTGAAAAGTTGAACTTTTCAAAAAATTAAACATCATTTATGTTTTCAAAATGAAGGGAGTATGCCTGTTTTTTTGCCGTTGTATTTGAGTATGTTTTGTTGTGGCTGACAGGTCATGTAACTATCTTTTTACATTGATATTGTAGAGTAAAGAAGATGGAGATTGGTGGCTACACTTTGGACATGATATCAATAATCTTAGCCCAGTAGGGTATTGGCCAAAAAGTCTTCTCAATGGCATGCAAGACCATGCCGACGATATAGAATGGGTAGGAAGTACTTTTTCCTTCTCCGGGGAGATTAGTCCACTGATGGGCAACGGGCACTGGCCAAGAAGCAATTCAGCAGCATCTTTTCGGAATGTTCAGTATATTGATAGGAATGGTAAAGGTTATGATCCTCCTATGGGTAGTCTTCATGCTTTTGAGAGCCACAAACAATGCTATCGGACTGGTGTATTTCAGCTTCAGGTCCAAGGCAACATGTTCTACTATGGGGGCCCAGGTGGTTGCACTGGTTAATTAGATTAATTTTGAATGACAATAACTCCAATCTAGCTTGTATTTCAAAAATAATCTGGCGAAAGAAATTGCTTTAGTTAATCTGATGTTTTCGTTATGTGCCCCCTTTCAATGTATGCTCACAGTTATATGCAATTCAATTTCCATATAGCCTATACGACAAATGCTCGCTAGAGAAAGAAGATAAGAGAGTTATCACATTTCATATGCAAGTGGATATTCTTGCATGCTCCCGCACAAAGAAGTTTTTTCATGAATGTTGTGATGTCAATGAGGTTAGAAATCAACAAAGGGATTTCTTTTCATGGTGGGGTGAAAAAGATTTGCTTGTCGTTTTAAGATTGGAAGCGAGAAATTTATAGGAAGAAATACACTAGGACTTAACCACCTGCACACAAACACATAAACTTATCCTTCTAGCCTACCCGCAGCCAGTTGGGCAGCATTTCACAAATCAACATCATCGATCCTAATTTCTAAGGGTTTTTTTTCAAACTAGCTGCCACTATCAGGATTCCAATCCTAAATAAATGTCGATATTGTTTGCAAACTGGAGTAGCTCAACGAACAACAATTAAATCACCCATTCAATCGACTAATCCTAATTGCTAGGGTTTGATTAGAGACGTACCTGTTGCCCAACTATATCGGATGGTTCTTGTGGGCTGCGACGTACACCGTTCCGCTTTGCCATCAGAGCTCAGGCGGACGGTCGGAGTGGGCAGCGGGGCTGCTAGGGCACGACGGACGGTCAGAGTGGGCAGCGGGGCTGCTAGGGCACGACGGCAGCGGGGCTGCTAGGGCACGGCGGACGGGCATAGTGGGCAGCGGGGCTGCTAGGGCACGGCGGTGGTGGGACTGCAATGAGAACAGCGGCGGCTGTTGGGTGGGGATGCGGCTGCTCGCTCAGGGTTGGGCTATTTTAGGCAAAAGAAAGCGATAGCTCATCGAGCCCAGGTCCCACTCGTCATAAGCGGTCACGGCCACGGTCCACCTGCCATTCGCGGCCCACATGTCCAAAGAACTGAGGCCCCACACGTCAATAATTGAGGAGGTAACGGTCAACTGCATTGACCTGGCAGCAAGGCTCCGTTTGGGATTTTGTGAGAATGGGCCGAGTGGTGGAAGGCAAAGGTGAGGAAAGTTAGATGCTATGGGCAAAACTAAGCACAACTAAGGAAGGGAGGGGCACATAAATAGATATCCCATTATGGAATAATCACTTTGGTGGCTAAGGTACAAGATGCTAGACAATTCAAAAAATTAATCCAATCTATCTGCTCAATGTTAGCTTTAAAATCATTACTGAAGTTTTGATGAACAGATTGAGCAGTTTGATCAAGCCCATTATTTCCCCTACACAAACTACCTTTATTAAAGGGAGATATATTATGGAGGGGAGGGTGGTGCCACATGAGGCCCTAAATACTATCCATCATAAAAAAACAAAGTGCACTCTTATTCAAGGCGGACTTTGAGAAGGCTTGTGATAAGGTAAAATGGCCATTTTTTTTACAAAATGCTGAAATTAAAGAATTTTCCTGGTCAATGGTGTGACCTGATGATGCACACTATGACTGGTGGACATGTGGGAGTCAAGGTAAATGATATGACTCATAAAGAGCTGAGACAAGGGGATGTCATGTCTCCCTGCTATTTGATTTAGCTGTTGATGTCTTGACCATCATACTAGATAAAGCCAAACAAAATGGTTTTGTTAAAGGGGTAATGTCTGAGTTTGGTAATAATGGTGTGAACATGCTTCATTATGTAGATGATACCATATTTCTTATACAAGATGATGAAGAAAGTGCCAGAAATTTAAAATTCATTCTCAGTGCATTTGAACAGATATCAGGATTGACTATTAATTTCCACAAGAGTGAGATATTTTGTTTGGTGAGGCTATTAATAAAGCAGAAAAATATCAGGAAATTTTCACTTGTGAGCTTGGGAAAATGCCATTGAAATACCTAGGTTTACCTGTTTCTGATGTGAGGCTAGGGAATAAGTTTTGGAAGACTGTTACTGAGAAAATTGAAAAAAAGATGTGTCTATTGACAAGGGAGATTATTAAATATAGCAGGTAGAGTGACCTTGGTCCAGTCCTGCCTATTTAACATACCCATATATGTGATGTCTTTTTTATCCCTTACCTGCTGGAATTAAAAAAATGATTTCTTCAGAGCTAGACTGGTCTGGCAAGAAAATGAGGACAAGAAG